TTCAAACTCAAGTATTTCTGATTGTCAAGGTAGTTAATATTCTACCACCTGAAATCTTAATAGCAAACATAATACACAAATTCAACATATTTTTTGCTGTTTGTTAAATATAAATAAACATATTCATTTCCTTTAGTAAACTCTAAGTGGAAAAACTAAAGAACAGATCTTTTGAAAATAGTATACTTTCCAGCTTTCAATATAGATACAAATTTCTTCCCTAACCTTATAATTTTACACAACTCAACTTGTATTATTCTAGCGCTATTAGCTATATTAATTTATTACACAGGGACACTGGCATAGGGGACTCAAAAATTCACGATTGGGCAGAAAATGAGAACTGAACAGTGATTTTATCACTGCAAAGTTAACTGTTACATAGCATCCTCTAACGCTAACATATGGCAGATCACTAGCTGTAAAGTGCATTCTGGGATTTAAGGGACATTAAGTGTAGCTGAAGTCCTGCAATACAATCATATCATTCCCAACATTACCTTTGAAAATAAACATTTGGAATTCTGGTACATATCTTAGATCCTGTTTGGACATTCCATTCAATTTATTGGAATACTTTTTAAAAAATATGGCATTACGAATATAATAAAGAATGAAGAAAAAAAAGTTAAATCTCCCTTTAAGCACTTACCAGTCTAATAGCATCACTAAAAATTGTATTCTTTTGGTCATGGCATGAAGTATTCATAAAATCTATGGCTGTTTTTTAATTACCTAGTGCTTTCAAGTTGGAAAATGCATTGTGAAACAAAGATGTTGCCAGGTTTACTCAATGAGTGCTTTTGACACTATATAAATGACAGAGCTATACCACAGTTACATGACCGGGACTCAAGAATCATTAAATTATACAACTGAAAAGAGATGTATGACTCATTTGTCCAGAATTTATAAAACTGTTTACCAATAAAATAGTTAAATTTAAACTATGCATACTCTCTAAAACAGTCTTTCAGTTTGTCCAACATGCTTGCTCTCCTGGCTAGATATTAGCTAGAAATCAGCAAGAAAAGCCTTTTCCCCTATTACCACCTGGCAAAGATGTAAAACCAAACTGCTGCAACCTTTCTGCGAGCTGGGCTGCCCTCTACTGGACTATTTAAGGTATTCAGCCAGCAGGTCAATGCAATTTTACTAGGTAACACAGTAGATATAAATGTAAATTTCCCACATCCCAAACAGACTGAAGTTCCCTGAATATGTTAAAAAAAAAAAAGAATAAGAACTCTTTGGCAAATTAAATTTTACCATTGGGAAAAAAATAAGTGGAGTGCTAATTATACAACAATTTCAGCAATTTTGAGAACTGGTAATGAAAAAGTTTACAGTCTTAGTCTCCTATTCAACCTCGGAGGCAGATCTGCAGCAATCATAGTAGCAAAGGGTAGGAGCAATGGGTATATTCTAATGTCAATCTTTTACGAAGATTTGTGTATTGATACAAATCACATTTTTGTGAGTCCATTCACACTATGATGTTTTCTTATGTATAAATATGGGTCACAGTAGACACACGCTGAATATATAATATCTGTTAAGTCTCTTGCCACAAGCATCCACTTTTCAGAGCTGTGTCCTCCGTGAAAATTCATTTTAAGTAGCAAGTTGTTTTTCTCTGTGGTTCATCCCCATGCCTGAGATTTGCAGTAATGTAGGACCAGTTTACCATCACTGCCAAAACACTACAAAAAAAAAAAAAAGGCAATAAATCAAATTCAATTTTTGTTATTTTTAGATGAAACTAAGAAAAAATAAGTCGTATGTATTCTAAATATTCATATACATGTAAGTTACCTTTGTAATAGGCTATTTCTTTCAAAAGATGCCAGTTTCTATCAGACACATATCAATAGTCATAAATGTTTAATAAACCTGTCCTTTCAGCATCTTAGGCACAGATTGGCAAATCTTGTCCCTTTCTCTACATCTCCAATGTAATGATTTCAGCTGTTTTCTAGTAGTGGTACTAGTATGTATACTTTGATTATTTCCATGAAACTGCAAGAATGTTGAATAAAGTCAATCTTATGTAGTTTTTTCATTTTCTTGGAGCTAGATCTGGATTACAGATTATAAGAACAATGTAGAAGAAATGAGATACAGATGAAGGTAATCTTATTTTCTGAGAATACAAACAAAAGATTACCTTGAAGTATAATTTATTAAGATCCTATTATGTTCAAGGTGTTAAGAGATATAACAGAAAACAAGAAAGCCACTTCTTTCCCGAATAGAGAAGAATGGCATGTCATTTCTTAAAATAAAGATGTGAATTAATGATCATACTATACACTACAATATACTTATTATACAGACATGCAAACTCCATTAAGAAAAGAAAAAGCAGTAACTTTTTACCTCATAGAGGGTTCCAACTTCCTGATCTGGGGAAGGAGCAAAGGATTGATTCACATAAATAAACTATAAGAAAGGAAAAAAAAAAAAACAGATTCATTTTTAATGGTATTCTGATTAGCCTGCTTTTTCCTGGGTTCCAATCAGACAGCTATTTCACTTTGTCTTCAGAATTAAAGAAAGCTTCCCTAAACTCCTTCTAATTCTCATAAAATAGTCAATTTAAGAGATCTTTATGAAGATTGCATCTTTCCTCCAGAGGAATAAAAATAACGGAATTTATGTTCTTAGTGGTTCCTAACTTTTTAAAATATTTTTTACAAATAGCTTTTAAAGGGTTATTCAAGAAATTGCATTATCATAAAAATTATCTGACCAATAAATACAGAATTTCTCCTAACAAGATTTCACACACACAGCCAGAAATCAATAAATCTAATATTTAAGATACTGTGTGCATTTTTCTTGGGTAAATGTATGACATACAAAGTTTTCCTTTTGACCTTTACCACCTTTGAAAACTTTCAAAGGTACTGAACTTCAGGTTGGGTGTCACTACCATAAAGTCACCTGCAGATAAATGAAGTAGGAAAAAAGGTAGCATAATTGAAACCTTATGTCCTTAGAGCTTTGTTCTTTAAAGGATTCACTGTTTAGTCTGCTTTTACTAAAATATTTCTAGTACTTAAAAAAAAAATTTCTAAAGATACTGAAACAAAAGATTATAGTGTCAAAGTGCCTTTTGATAATTTTCTTTGTAGAAAACAAGATATTTGCAGGTGACAAATGTCACATATTCAATTTCCTTTTAGTATCTATAATCAAATACTGAGACTAAACTATCTTGGACCTAATACAGTATTTTTTATAAAAAACAGTATCAGAACAGTTGGTTAGATACTATTTTGGTTACCCAACTGTTAACAGGAATAAATATCGCTCACATTTCTCCCTTAGGCAAAATAGTGTGGTGATTAAGTTTATAGGTTCTACTGAGAAAGATCTGGGTTTGAATCCTGGCTCTAAATATAAATAACATTTTTCATCCTGTTTCCTCATATGTAAGATTTGAAAAAAATAGTACCTATACCTTTTGAATTTGCTATGAAAGATAAAATGAGGTAATACACACCAAGTATCAGTGTCTGGTGTATGTACTCAATACCCATTATTAAATTATTTTAAAATAGTTCATGTTTAAATATCAATTCATGGTTAAGTCTCATTAAAGTTCTAACATAAATTTCAGAAATATGCCAGGCACAGTTACATGCACCTATAATCCCAGCTACTTGGGA